TTATGTTTCAATATTATGAAAATATTCTACTTAGGAAACTATTGAAAATAACCTCAGTCCAAGGGTGTAACCTTAATCTCACATCCTTGATTGTTTCCTCTTTTCTTAACTTTGTCTAGCTGGATACAATCTCTTATCGTATGATCAGGTTTTTTGTTTTTTTTTTTTTAATGATGGATAGGTTTTAACTTCTATGGAACTTTTGAGACCTGTAGTCAAACAGTTCCCAGTCTTCATTATTAGAATTGATCCAGTTTTAAATTTCTTAATTTTTTTTTTCTTGAATTTTATTTTTGATGTTGTTACTTTAGTTTTGGTGATGGGAGTTATTAGGCTGGGGAGAAGGTGGACATAGGTTTTACGCCATTATTCTCCATATGCTGGTTGGAACCATATTAATTTAACCTTTTCTTGATCAGAATTTTAAGGAGAAGAAATCAGCTCGAGAGAGTTTCGTGTGTGGAAAATGTGGTCAGGTATGTAAAGTGTTTAGATAAGTATTTCTCGTGCACGAGCCCCGAATATTCTAACCTTTCTGAAGTTTGTTTTGTTGTTTTTAGTTTGGTCACATGCGGACAAACAAGAATTGCCCCAAATATGGAGAAGAACTTGAAACACCGGACACAACAGATCAAGAAAAAGTATCAATAAAGTCGAATACTATGGATCCATCAAATCAATCCAATCAGAAAGCTCAAACCAAGAAGGCTACACCAAAAACCGCAGCAAAAATTTCAACAACAGAAGCGTTTGAGGGTGAAAAATCCACGTTGATGGCAAAAGTTCTTCCAGTCAAATTCAAATGCAGCTCAACTGACAGGCTTTCTGATAATCTTAGTCCTGTACTGCCACAGACTTCTGACTTGCCGGTCAATTCTGACAATGAAACAGGAAAGTCCGTTGTTAAGGTTAACAAGATCACATTTTCAAAGAAGAGAACTGAAGACGTTCAGTTTCAGTCTCATAAACCCTCAATTGTGATTCGACCTCCTGATGCAAAAAAAGTTTCAATTGATGCTCATAAACCTTCGATTGTCATAAGACCACCAACAAATATTGATAGGGACAAACTTGAATTTCCGAGACGCACTGCTGCCATAATAAGATCAGCAGCTGAAACAGATAAAGAGCAGCTTCACAAAAAACTTGTAATCAAACGGCCAAAAGAGGTTATTGATGTGGACCGGTGTGGTTATGATGGGAGTGTTGGTATGGAGTACCGGAAGACTAAAAAAATAGTTGAGCTGTCAAGTTTTGAGAAGCATACAAGGCCTGGGAGTATGAGTTCAGCCGAGTCTGGAAAAAAGAAAGCTAGAGAAGAACATAGATGGTGGGAAAAACAAGAGAAGCGGAGAAAGGAAGAGAGACTAAGAGAAGAGGAGGCGAGGAGGGTTTACAATGAAGAAATGGGGATGCGGGAGGAACAAGAGAAGTTAGCAGAGATTAGACGATTTGAAGCAAGCATTAGAAGTGATAAGGAGGAAGAAGAACGTCTAAAAGCAAAGAAGAAGAAGAAGAAACGAATCCCGGAAATAATGAATGATTATGTGGAAGACCCCAGATCAAGAAGAATGGATAAAAGGGTTGTTCTAGAAAGAGACCGTAGTTTAAAAAGGAAGCCCATTGAATTGGGAAGACATGGTGCAGAGCATGCATCATCTACAAAGCGCCGTAGAGTGGGAGAGGTATGTGTGTACTTTGAAAGATTTTCTCTACTTTTGTGCTATTCACTTATCTACATTCATTGATAACTTGAGTAATTATCGTTTCAGGTTGGTTTGTCGAATATCTTGGAGCGGATTGTCGAGACCCTCAAAGAGAGGTACGATATTTCATATCTCTTTTTAAAACCAGTGTCCAAGAAGGAGGCTCCTGATTACCTGGATATCATAGAGCGCCCAATGGATCTTTCTACCATTAGAGAGAAGGTTAGAAGGTTGGAATACAAGACCCGGGACGAGTTCAGGCATGACGTATGGCAGATAATGTATAATGCTCACATGTACAACGATGGGCGCAACCCAGGTATTCCTCCCTTAGCAGACCAGCTTTTGGGTCTTTGTGACAATCTGTTAGACAAAAATGACGATGAATTAACTGAAGCTGAAATGGGAATCGAGTTTAGGGATTCGTAGGGGAGTACATACCAAAACGTGCCTTTGTGTATCATATTACATAATAGTGTAGTGTAGCAAGGCGGAACTCTCATTCCCATGGCCAGGTAGTTTTAACATACTATTCTATTCCATTAGAGGTTTAGGAAATCCAGTTGCCATTGCTGGTGAGAGTTCAAGGGTAAGAAGGCAGGCTTAGAACACAACCATGGTTATTAGAATGTTGTGCCAAAAAAGTTGAAGAGAGATATGGGGGATAGAACTCGTGGATATAGAACCAACCTTCTTTAGAGTATCGTAGCGATGTATATAAACCCGCGATCAAAATATTTTTGGGTTTAAGAGAAAAATATTTTATTGCCCCCATAGTGTGTAACATAGTGGTGTATTTAAAATCCGAGTTTAATCTCTTTTTTTGGGTTCATTAGATTGTATTTTATTGTCCAACATATACGATGATTCGTCTTTTTTCCCCATCTTCATTTTCTTGACTGGAGAAATATATAGTTTTCCTGTCTAATTATTGTATGCTGTTCTAAGTGTTGCTGGCTCATTGTAACAAGTTTGTCGATATTTCCCTGTTGAGTTTGTTTGATCGGCATTGATCCTGAAAGAAATGAGTGGTAGAAAATCGTATTAGATCCCACATCGGTTGGAGAGGAGAACGAAACATTTCTTATAAGGATGTGGAAACCTCTCCTCAGCAGACGCGTTTAAAAACTTTGTGGGAAAGTTTGGAAGGGAAAGCCTAAAGAGGACAATATTTGTTAGCGGTGGCTTTGGGCTATTATAAATGGTATCAGAGCTAGACATCGGGCAGTGTGTTAGCGAGGACGTTGGGCCCCAAGGAGGGTGTATCGTGAGATCCCACATCGGTTGGAGAAGAGAACGAAACATTTTTTACGAGGGTGGAAACTTCTCCCTAATAGATATGTTTTGAAACCTTGAGGGGGGAAGCCTAGAATGGAAAACTGGACAATATCCTATAGCAGTGAGTTTGAGTTGTTACAACATGCAACCACACTTCAAAGAAAAAAGAAGTCGAGTTAGCTAAATCAATCTTTCTTTTCTTCTCGAAACCGTCTTCTTTCCTCTTGATCGTGAGTCTCTTCTTGTTTCAGTGAACTCTTTGTCAAAAGACTTTCAATGTCATAGCTAACAATTTTTGGAGTAGTTGACTCTATCATAGGGCGTGTTTAAATTCTTTACTTGCTTTGGTACTGAATTGAGATTTTTAGGTGACGTTATTAAATGTCTTCCATAACATAACATTTAAAACACACGAGAAAACTTTTGGTAACTTAGAGGAGACGCTATAATAAAGTGATCATAGCAATTACTTTAATACCGGTCTTGTGAACTTTATCTTTACTCCATCCTTAAATCAATTACCCAAATAACCATCAACACTATTTAAGAGTTCCACTCTCGGTTCAGTGAGTATAGCTGGGATAATTACTCTTATAATACACTAATAGAAGCATACGAAACATATTATAGCCTTAAATGAAAATTTAGGTAGTCTAAAAGGACACGGCTAGTAAACCCTAATCCAAATCTACTTCTCTTTTGGGCATGAGTTTAAACAAATCATAAATAATCAAATTCATAGGTCACGAACTAAATCAGTCTTTTCAACTACGATCATGTCTTCAAACTTGTGAGAATTATTCATCGATGAATTCACTCTAAGCCACTCGTTTTGTTCTTAGAAGTTCCAAACTTTCTTGCAATTATCTCATAGTAGAAGGATCTCCCCGAAAAAGTCATTATTTGCCAAAAGACCCCTCCCCTATCTTTATATAATTCTCAAAAAAAAAAAAAAAAAAAAAAA